TTCGATCTGAAGACCTCGGATGAACCGGCCTAAAGCGGCTATCCGCCCTGTTAATCTTTGTACGACCTTAACACTGTCCACGACTGTGATGTTTTTGATTGCCTTGATTTTATTGGGATTGATCTCGATTCCCCTATTTGACACCATAAAGTCGAGAAACTTGCCTGAACCGACCCCGAATGCATATTTCTCGGGGTTGAGCTTCATGTTGTACTTTCTCAATATGTTGAAGGTTCCCTGCAAATATGTCAAATGGTCCTCTGCACATAGGGACTTAACTAGCATGCCATAAATATAAACCTCTATTGATTTACCTATTTGTTCTTCAAACATCCGGTTTACTAGGCGTTGATAAGTATCACCAACATTTTTTAGCCCAAACGGCTTACATTATAGCAATAAGTATCGTACTTAGTAATAAAAAAGTCTTTTCCTGATCCTCCAAGTTCATTTGTATTTGGTTATACCTGGAGTAGGCATCAAGAAGACTGAGGATCTCGTGGCCAGCCGTGGCATCGATCATGTGATCGATATTCGATAGAGGAAAGGAGTCCTTAGGGCATGCTTTGTTTAACTCTTTGTAGTCTACGTACATTCTAAGTTTATTCCCCTTCTTGGGGACTACGACTACGTTTTCTAACCATTCGGGATATTTTACTTCCCGGATGGATCCTATTTTGAGAAGTTTGGTTACCTCGTCCTTGATGAATGCATGTTTTACCTCGGACTGTGGCCTTCTCTTTTGCTTTACCGGTCTGAACTTTGGGTCCAACCTCAATCGACGAGTGGTAATCTCCGGTGGGATCCCTGTTATGTCAAGGTGGGACCAAGCAAAATAATCCATATTTTTAATAAGAAATTTAATGAGTTTTTTCCTAAGCTCAGAATTAACCCCGTGCTCAGGTATACCTTTCGATCGGGCAGATGCTCGATCAGTATGACTTGTTCTAGCTCTTCGACCATTGACTCTGTGGCATCGGAGTCATCGGGAATTACGAAAGTTCGAGGTATCGCATAATCATCATCCTCGAAAGTTTCCTGCTGTTTCGATCTGATCAAGGCTGGCGACTATGGTTGTTATTTGACTTCCTGCTTTCCTTTGATTCTGGTCCATTTGCAAATGTTAGTGTCGATACTGGTATTACCTTATCAATTGAAAACATCTCTTTGGCTGCAGGCTATTCACCATACACCGTGTTGATTCCTTCCGGTGTTGGGAATTTCAAGACTTGATAAAACGTTGAAGTTACCGCCCTCATATTATGGATCCAAGGTCTCCCGAGCAGCGCGTTGTATCTCATATCACCTTCGATTATATGGAGCTTTGTTTCCTGGATAGTTCCGACCACGTTTACTGGCAACATGATTTCCCCTTTGTGGTTTCACTTGCCATATTGAAACCATTGAGCACCCGAGCTGTTGGCACAATTTGATCCTGAAGTCTGAGTTACTCTATGAACCTCGATCGAATAATGTTTACCGAGCTACCTGGATCAACCAACACACGTTTAACTTGAATTTTTTTTATAAGGATAGATATTACCAGTGCATCGTTGTGAGGCTGTTCGATTACTTCTGCATCCTCATCATTGTAAGATAAGGTATCCTCTGATAAGTAATCCTGAGTACGTTTCTCCCTTGTGATTGTCACTTTGGTGCGTTTGAATATCGGGCCTTGAGGAATATTGACCCCACCAACGATCATATGAATCACGTGATGCGGTTCTTCCTGTTTGTTTTTCCTATTTGCATCCTTGTCTTTGAGGTGATTTTTAGCTCGGTCACTCAAGAACTTTCGAAGGTGACCCTTGTTGAATAAACGAGCTACCTCCTCCCTTAACTGCCCGCAGTCTTCGGTTCTGTGACTATGGGTTCCACGGTACTTGCACATTTTATTTGGATTCCTTTGAGTTGGATCGGTCTATAGGGGTCTGTGCCACCTAATATCCTTTATTCATCCAATGGCTAACATAATACCTGAAGCATCGATGCTGAAGTTGTATTCTGATAACCGTGGTGCTCCTTTAGGATCGACATGTTTATTGAAGCCACTCTTACTCATGAGCCCTCAGAAATTTTGACCTTGATCATTCCTTCGATCATTTCAAACGGGATTACGTCCCGGTCTGTTGTTTCTACGATCTGCGCTATATGGTTGACATCGATCTTTGTTCGATCGGGGCTCTCTGTCGATGTCTCTCTGAATCCTGCCTTCGGATCTATTTGGGTAAACAGGACCAGAATGGGCTCCCAATTGATCATCATCAACTCTGATCTTTTACTGGTATCGATTATGCACATCAGCCTAGGTCACCGCAAGATATTCAATCAAATTCTACTTTAGTTGACGTGATGCTACCGAATTTCGCTCGTTCAAACCCTTAGTAAAGGCTTGGACAACCCAATCATTGGTAACCGGGGGGTAGGTCCATGCATTCCATCTGAAATCGAGATAAGAATTCCCTTAGCATTTCATTATCCCTTTGTCTCACTTTGAAGAGATCTAACTTCCTAGTCGTGACTTTTATTGCTCCGGCGTGTGCCTTTACGAACGAATCGGCAAGCATAGCAAAAGAATCAATGAAATTGGGCGACAAATTATGGTACCATATCATTGCCCCCTTCGATAAAGTTTCTCCAAAATTTTTCAACAGGACAGATTCAGTTTCATCATCTTTTAAGTCATTTCCTTTTATTGCACATATATAAGAAGTGACATGCTCATTAGGATCAGTGGTTCCATTGTACTTGGGAATTTCTGGCATGCGGAATTTCTTCGGAATGGGCTTCGGAGCCGCACTTGGTGGGAAAGGCTTTTGTACGAACTTTTTCGAATCCAAAACCTTCAGAATCGGGGGTGCCCCTGGTATTTGATCAACCCGTGAGTTGTACGGTTCTACCTTTTTATCATTAGCCTCAATTTTCTTTTCTCCTAATTCAATCGGATTAGTGAGCTCCTCGAGCATCTTCATGATGGCGCGGTCAGTTCCCGATCCATTATCTTTTAATTTCTCTTGTACAGGTTCGACCCTATAAACAACTTCTAGTGATGTATCGAGTTCGATTCTGCTTGGTGTTCAATTCTGATTTTGGAGTTGCGCTATCGCAACCTGCTGAGTTTGTAACATGTCAAATATCATTCGAAGGCTAATCCCGCCTTCTTCACCATTTTGTGCGTTCTAATCGGCTGCCCGGGCATCTCCGCGGACGCTATTTTCAGGGTCGGCGCCTAAATCTCCACGAATGGCGACTTGAGAACTGACATCGACTGGATCAACGGCCTGTGGCACATGGGGATTGATTGGAGGTACTCTGTTTCCCGAGGCGGCTGTGTTTTCGTTCTCGCCATGAAGACCAAGGCCGGTATCTGTGTGAGTGGGTACTGCTTGAGAGTTCGACATGTCGATTCCTAAAATCAAAGACACTTACGAGAATAATCGTAAAAGCGGTGTGTGTTATGGGGATTAATACTAGGTAATCACTATTATCCTTAGCCCCACGATGGGCGCCAAACTATTTACTCTAAAATTTGGATAATAATTAAATTTATAATGTGGTTTTAAGGATATGTGATTTCACCTAATACTAATCAATAAACGTAAAGATAAATGATGGAAATTGATAATAATATAAAACGAATCAACATTTGGATAGAGCCCTCAATCTAGTTATGCAAGAACAGTTAAAATATAACAAGCGGATAAACAAGAGAATGTGAATTAAGAGAGAATATAGTATTGCTTTAATCTGAGTAAATGTAAGTTGTGTACAAGATAATTAGGACCCCCTTTATATAGTAGAGAAATCCTATTTAAGATACAATTCTAACTATGGAAATAAATCACATGATTAACTAGATAGCCACCCTTGGTTTGATATGTTCCGAGATTTACGCTATGATCTCCGGCCAGTCGCGGATATCTCGCCTTTCCGTTATTATACTTTGCTCGAAGTCTATCACATTTGATCTTGGTCGTTGTTTGCCTTGATCTCGGTAGGTACCTCGATCCTCGGACTCAATACCTCGTCTTCACGCTCTAGTCCGATTCATTACGAGGCTATCCCTCGATGCATTTCCCTTGTCTCAATCAAATAGCATAATTAGGTAGGTCCGGTTTTAACCGTATACAAGAAAGATAAAATATTGTGTTACACAAACAACTTTGATCACTTTGTTTTCCCTCTCTTATCCTTTCCTCCCGCTTCCTCGAAGAAAAACAACTTCGCATAGGCCATTATTCAGTTTGTAAAGAGCATGCCTAATCCAACAAATTACCTCATCGTGCTCAATTACCAGACCAATGATGAAGTTTATAAGATTGTGCCTTGTTTGGCTAATTTGTGCAGCTCTTCAAACGGACCAAACTAGGGAAAACTAGGAAAAACTACAGAATATAGCCACTCCACAAAATAATNAGTTTCAAAAGTAATCGAAATTTAGCCACTTTTTATGTAAAGATAAATCTGAACGAAAACATTGATCAAAATCCGAAAAATACTCCAGCATAATATACTAGAGTTCCAGCATAAGTATACTGGAACTCCAACATATTATAATGGAGTTCCATCATAAGTATACTGGAACTCCAGCATAATATACTAGAGTTCCAGTATAATATACTGGTCCAACATAATATGCTGGAAGTTCATACACAGGTGCTCCAATCTCCAGCATATTATGCTGAAACTTTCCACGTGTTGGAGTTCCAGCATAATATGCTGGAAGTTCATACAGAAGTGCCCGATCTCCAGTATATTACGCTGGATCAGTCCCTGTTGCAGCAAAATAGTGACTATTTTTTAATAATTTTGCAAACGCTGACTATTTTTGAATAACCAGTCCGAAAACTGGCTAGTCTGTGCTATTTTTACAATTATTTTGGGTCGACCGGCCAAATTAAGCCCATCAATCTATACCATTTTGGGCTTAAAAGAGACCGTCAATCCAAGATGGGCTGTTAAAGCGGAAAGCCCACAAATCCGACCGGGATCCGGTTCACTTCTTCCCTCGTTTGTCTGCAGATATAACAAAGTTTCAGAAGCAAAACCAAAGTACAAACCTTTGCTTGCTGAAAACGACAACCATTGTTCTTCTATAGTCTGTGCTCGTTTTCTTCCCGTATGTTCACCTGTATTTTAATAGAAACTAAGCTATTTACACAATTCACTTCGATAATTTATACTTATATCTTTGCAATTTCTCTGCTAGGGTTTTAGCTAAAAATGTCAAAGACTCCGGATCCAAACAGTACAGGTGCTAGCGGTAGCGCCGGCGGTGACAAGTCCGCCGGAGAAGAGGCTACCATTAAGGTTCCCTCCAAGGACCCAAAGAAGAAGGATGATAAGAAAGACGAAGATCTCGTAAGTGTCAAAGCAATCACGGAACTCGAACAGAATTGGTCACTTTATGTTTTAATTGTATCTTTTTGTTTATTTATTGATTTTGGTGGGATTAGTCGGAGGAGGATTTGGCATTGAAGCAGCAATTGGAACTGTATGTGGAGAGAGTTCAAGACACTGATCCAGGGCTACAGAAGGTTGCCCTTGAGAGCATGAGGTATCTTCTTTCCCCCTTTCTTTTGTAATACATGTCGAATTTGTATTTACCGGAAAGTGGATATTGAAGTCGCCTAGTTTGGGATTGAGGGATAGTTGTTGAGGTGAGCTGCTGAATTCTCATTTAAGTTGGACAATGTTTACAGCTATAGATAGTGTAATAGGTACTTGCTTTTGTTGAGCTTAACTTTGAACCTTAATAGTAAGTTTTTTGGGGCTTTGGTATTCTAGTTTATTCTGGATTCATTTTCTTTGCATGCTCATGTTTTTTTGACGTTTTGAGGGATGATAGAAGTTCCCTTTAGTGCTCTAAGGTGCCTTATTTCATTATTGGTAATAGCAGGTAGACGATTGTCCAACATTGTCCTTTTCTCTTTCTTTTTTTTACCCCCGATGAATTGGTTTATATGCTTACACCTGTTAGTAAAGTGATCTTGGATATCAAATGTAATAGGTGCAAGCTTATCATTAGCTGGCACTTTCTTTTGGGAACTTTTTCAGAAAGAGATGCGACCTCCTTTGAAGTCCTTAGACATCCATCAATTAGACATTAAAAACCATGGAAAATAAATGTATGGATGTGTAAAAGATAGCTCTTTGTTGAATTAGCATGCGCTACATGCATTATGAATCATGCATATTTCTCAGTTTGAATGAGAAATCAGATCCCAGTTTAAGTCTTCAATCCTTGAACTTTTTAGGGTCAAACTTTACATAAGCAAGGACATTTCTTTTTTGTCTCTTTTGCTTATGATCTTTCCTATGTTATAGACAGGAAATTCGTACATCAACAAGCTCGATGACATCAGTTCCAAAACCATTAAAGTTCTTGCGTCCCCACTATGGAACACTAAAGGGATATTATGAGAAAATGCCAGACTCGGATATGAAGGTATGGAGCTGGCATTGCACTTAATCGTTGTAAAAGTTGAATAAATTTCACTCACGCAACTTCAACTGCATGCAGAAACTTCTGGCAGATATACTTTCTGTTTTGGCATTGACAATGTCTGCTGAAGGAGAAAGGGTATGTTCTATTTTTGGAGTACTAATAATTATGCATGCGTGATATACTATTACTCGTGTTGGCGACGTTAACAACTTTTTCATCTATTTTATGACTATTACTAATTTATTGGTTCTTACAGGAGAGCTTGAAGTATAGACTGTTGGGTTCTCAAGGCGATATTGGTTCCTGGGGACATGAATACGTTAGGTATGCTTGACATCTAGTAACATTGTCTTTTTAAACTCCTATTCAAGTATCCTTATCCTCTTTGTTTTTTCCCATGTTTATATTATTTATGATTATCTTAGAACTTACTTTGTTAGCAAACCAGTAACTGACCTTAGAAAATCTGCATCTTCTCTGTGCTGAACGGCTCTTAAACAGGCTCATTTGTATTAATTCCAGTCTTGGCAGACATCAATGATGACCTAGTGCAGTTGCATATTAAGTCGATGTAGGTTCAGGAAATAAAAATAGATTTTTAGGAGTTTTGGTCCATTTTAAGTGGTAAGGAACACTTAGCAGTAGTAAAGTGTATCTATGCCCTTGTCCGCAAGGGGTGGGGGGTTGAGCTGTAGGAGAGATAATATGGAGATTCCTAATCCGAATCCCATCTACAACATTCAGTGTGGGCCCATCTACTCCAATCCTAGTGGCAGAAATAACTTGCACCTGTGCTTATGGATTTAGTATGCTGTCCGATTGCGGGTTGGGCGCAAACTGACCGGGGCATCACTGTCACCCTCATCCAAAGAAGTGTGTCTATACTGTTGCGTGATGTTAATGCTAATTATCCATTGCAATTCATGAGATGGGTGTCTGATTGAGATACTAGCTCAAGGCAGGTTACTCTGTGTGTAAATTAATGTGTTTCATTTCCCAATTCTTGCCTAATCCATTTTTCCTCTCAAGTACTGGGTAACTGACTGTTTCTACAGGAACTTGGCTGGAGAAATTTCACAAGAGTATGCAAAACGGCAGGTTCGTTTTCCTTCATTTCTTAAGTTGTGCAAGGTATTAGAGGAATATTTTAATGTGTTTTTCTACAGCCTGTGTTGTTCATGCTTTGTTTAGAGTTTGGTTACTTTATGCATATGCAATTCAGGCTAGCTTTCCTGCTACTGTACATATGTACCTATTATCATCTTTTTACAAGTCACTTTTTCTCTTACCTGGACAATAAGTTATGTGTACAAATCTTTTGCTTGAAGATTGTGACATTTATCTGAATTTTATTGTTAATTTATTTAAACAAAAAGTAGCAAACAACTTCATGCCTTTTTCTATCGTTATTTTGTGAATGTCACAACATGCTTTTTTACATTTATATCATGCAATAACTTCTGAAATGAGGTATTAATCAGCTTTTCTGTTTCTGTTCTTATGATGTGTAAACGATTTCAGGGTGAAGAAGGCCCAATTGATGATCTAATGGAGCTTGTGCAACAAATTGTTGCTTTTCACATGAAGGTATCATTTTGCATATTTAATTGTAGTTGGGTTGCAGGATGGATCTATAAAGGTTTCCTTCCTTTTATCCTGTTCTGATGGGGAAGCTTAGATTGCTTTTCATCTCTTTTCTTTTGTTTGAAAGGCTACCAATTTTTGACTGCTATCTTGTACTGCAATGCAGCATAATGCTGAACCTGAGGCTGTCGATCTTTTAATGGAGGTATTTGTTTCTCTCCTGCCCTTACATAATTATATGTCGTTTCTATGTGAGTCACTGGTGAGATATCTTTTTTGAATAATTTCAGGTGGAAGATCTTGATCTTTTAGTCGAGCATGTTGATAGTACAAATTACAAAAGGACATGCTCCTATCTCACCAGTTCGGCAAAGTGAGTTTGCTCAGGACACAATTTTGGAGTTTCTGTTAGCATATATGAATCCTTTGAATTTCTCTTGGCAAAATTAGATTTCCTGGAGTTATGTCAATGTGTAGTGTTTATGCTTTTAGTTATTCTCATCCTTCACACTTATATGCAGTTTCCTACCAACCCATAAGTTTCGTTGTTGACTTGATAATGAAACTAGCGTAAATAGTGGGGCTGGTCTATTGCCGCAGTAAGAAAGTCCGACCAAAAAAAAAAACTGACCTGGAGTGGCGAACCACTCTAGCGCTACGAACATTTACATACACAGTGTTATTTGTGGCTACATTGCGTTGGGTTGTAGTTCTTAACTAAAATTGATGAATAGCTTAGAAATAGACCTTTTTTTATCACCTGCAAATCCTTTGCATCAAGCTTCGGAACTCGGTGGATAATGCGCCTCTCTGCCCCTGGCCTTCTCTACCTAAACACTAGACCTAGTTCATTAGCCAGTATTCGAACTGATGATATGCGTTTATTTGACGTTCCTACTGCGCTGTACTGATTCATTGCCCTTGAGCATTGCCTAGACGTCTTTTTGATTTTTTATGCTTACCTTTTAACCTTTTGGAGATGAGGGCCTACCACTTCCTAAGAAACTTTATTCTGTAAAAATTGTTGGTTCACACAATTACTTAAAAGAATTTATCAATGACGAATGAAATTTGTAATAGGAAAGGATATTAGGGAGAGTCTGAAGCATGGTTACAGTCTGTTGGGTCTTTCTACGAGAATAAAGTGAAGGCATTTTCTCTATGGGTACTGATGAGATCCTTGCTCATTGCCCCTTGCAAGCCTATATTTGAGAGTGGATAACTTTGTGGAAGTGAAGTCTGAATTATTGCGCTGTGTTCTGATTAATAAGTAGTTTAATATATGCAAATTTTCGGTCTCTCTTGAGCAGCAAAGTGCCTCGGAAGGCCTTCTTTCCGATTCTCTGGTTGCTTTAGTTGTGTTTTCCTTCCTCTCTGGTGGAAGCCAAGGAGTAAAATTCTGGTGCCTTCTTTTCCAGATATAAAGACAGATGCTATGTACTTATCAAACCAAAAAAAAATGTGATACATCCTTTCTTTTGTGTGTTTTCTGCTGGCAATTTCCGTCCTCAATATTATCTAATGTCTAATTAGATTCTCCATGACCTCTGCATTAGAATTCATGATTTTTGCTGTCTAACAGATACCTTCCTGGACCTGATGACATGTTGGTTCTTGATATTGCATACACTATCTATATGAAATTTGAGGAGTATCCAAGTGCGCTAGTGACTGCACTATACCTGTATAACATGCAGGTATGCACTTTTTAATTCTATTCTCATTCTCCTCCCATTCTTTAAAAGAAACATCGCTTGTTAGAGTGTAGGGATGTTTGCTAAAGTCTAACGGATCTGTTTTCTTTTAAGTTAGAGTCTAGTGGAGCTATAGATTCTAAAATTGAAATNTTAGAGTCTAGTGGATCTATAGATTCTAAAATTGAAATTTGGGTATAAGTTGATTATTTTTTCTTGGTTTGCATCTGTTTGCAGTATGTAAAGCAAGTTTTTACATCGTGTGATGATCTTTTGCGGAAGAAGCAGTTCTGTTACATTCTTGCTCGCCATGTAAGTTCTCCATTATTCTATTCTGTTTGTCATTTTCCGGCTTACGATGTTGCTGTGTGAATTTTCCTCGGTGGCCATCCTAAATTTCATCAAATTCTCTTTCTTCTCCACGACCTCTCTTCCCTTTATTTCCGGATAATTTCTCTCCTGACCCAGCATCCCCTGCCCTAAGAGTTATTTGTGCAGGATTTATAGCTTGTGACATAAATCTGTTTTATCTTTGATGGTTCATCTCAGATTGCTGATTTAATGTTTGGAAATGCAGGGTCAGACATTTGAGCTTGATGAAGAGATGTGTGCAGAAGATGAAGAAAGAGAAGGATTACAGGAGATTATTAACAATGCTAAATTAAGTGAAGGCTATCTGACACTTGCTCGTGATATTGAGGTCATGGAACCAAAAACCCCTGATGACATATACAAGGTTTGCACTTGTTAATATATCCTTTCCTCCTAATTATGTTTGTTTTGCATCTACTGTTGCATATCTTCTCTATTCCTTAATTGAAATATATGAACTGACATTGCCTGGGACGTGTGTGCTGTTGAACTTTTGTCGATTTTCTTTTGGTGGGCAAAGTATTCACCTAGCTATGTTTTGCCAACATTTGGCCGGCAAGTGCAGACTAGCTTTTCACCCCCCGCCCAATAAAAAAAGCACCATAATTTCATACTTTTCCCGCTCATCCTGTCGCCACCGCTATCAAATAGGCATTCTCAATACTCCTTTATCTCCTTGAATTACCAACTAGAAGAAAGAAAAGAAAAATAATGAGTGGAACAAAATATCTTGTCTGTTATTTCCTGGCATCCTTGGTGAAGAAAAGCTTGTCTGGCAAATTATGTTTATTATCTATCACCACTCCGCGCAAACAGAAGACATTGGTAACCAAAATTTGTGCTGATTCCCTTTGTTTTAATTTATCAGCCACATTTGCTTGATGGCCGGGCTAGTGCGGGGGCAAGTGTAGATTCAGCAAGACAAAATTTGGCCTCTACATTTGTCAATGCC